GGTTTTGATCCTCCTAGGAATTTGGATTTCAATTTTTGACTCTAAATTGATAATGATCGAGATATTAATCAGCGTTAACGTTAGTAAGCGATGCGTTGTACTTAAAGCTAATAACACAATAAGCTTTTCTGTCAATTTCTTCAAAGAAAGTTCCTCTACTGGACCCCATTTCGCCAGCTTTTACAAAACTGGGTTCACGTCCTAAGTAGATTCGTACTGAGGACATACAGGTCTCATCCTCGAAGAACCCTTAATAAATCAGCTTATTAAAGGGCAGTTCGTGATATCCTCGTTTTATATAAAAGATAACGCCACATTGGTTGAGTTTAGTGCGCTATGTCCAACTCCATCACCGAATCTTTCCATCAAAAATTTCAAAACCTTCTTAACAGAAACCTTATATGGAACTCCAATGACCGGTTATTCAGCGCCACCAGAGCTTTAAAGTTCCATTGTAATTTTTTAATGTTGCTTCTGCTAGTGAAGTTAGCGATATATAAACTGCTTCCATAGGCATGCCCATGATTACAAGTGCTTAGCTGATAACCTGGCGACAACCAGGGTAAGTCTCGCAGTAAAAAGATAATGCCTTGACCTAAACGGAGTAATCAAGAGATTAGGATCTGCATCAAACCAACTGCATCAAAGTTTCTCATAGAAAGTTCCTTAAAGGCCGGAAACCAAATCTGAGTAGGCCAATAAGGTACAATTAAAATATCTTCTGCCTCATTCTCTTCGATTTTCTTAATCACTCTAGTTATGATGGAAAAGAGGGGAAAGGCATAAAATATCCAATCAGACCAACTAACTGTAAAAGCTTTAAACGTGAAGGCTTCCGGATCTCTCTTCCACGAGCAATAAACCGCGCATTTGGTATTGATTTGCGAAGAAAATAGATCGATATCTAGATTCCCGAATCTTCTGATGATTCTTTTAAACGCATAGACGACTAATTCTTCTCCGCGTCTGAGTTATCGATTCCTGATGTTTGGTCAGTCTCCACATTTTCCTTCTACAGGATGTACAGGGCCGTCATAACTGGCGGCTCTTGCACCAATTCCATAGCTCACTCGTCAAGCTATGTAGCCCGGCATAATAGACACCACCCATCCTATTGATATATGCCATCGTTGTCGTGTTGTCCACCATTAGTAAGACATCAGTGTCCCTCAGGTCCGTCGCAAAACACTACAAAGCCAATAGCGCCGCTTTAAGCTCAAGGTGGCTTATATGAAGACTTCTCTCCTTCTCAATCCATAACCCATTGGCGCTTTAATTTTAACAAGAAGCACCTCACCCGAACAGTGATGCGTCTGAGTAGATTGTTCTCTCAAATTAGTTATTTCTTACCTTTCTACTGGCCTTAAGTAAAACCTTTAACCACTAATCCCAGTCTTTTAGGGTATATTCGGTATACATCGAAATGATCTACAGTGTAACAAACTGTACTCAACTGCTGGACAACATGCTACCACTGACCCTAAAACCTTGGCGAAATTTTGAATTTTCACCGCGTCCTTCTCCTTAAGATCCTCGATCTGTTCCTGTACTGAGACTATTTTTTTTCCTGGAAGCTCTACTCTAATTGTAGATGAGTCTACTCTAATTGTAGATGAGTAGATGAGTGTGAAGTGTTCTGCATCAATGAACGTATTCAGATCCTTCAGATTTAAAATGAACCTCTGCTAACCATCCGACTTAGGGACCAAAAAGAACGGTGAAAGGAAATTTACAGGAACCTCTTTTACTTCCTCAATCGCGCCTATCGAAAGCAGTCTGTGTTAATCTCTGATTGGATGCTGGCTAGTTCCTGACCCGACCAAAACCTGTCAGGTGGTTAACAAGTTTGTACAGGGACCTATTTAAAAGGTATTTTATACCTTTTACACACTGAATGACAAACTTGTCCTCAGTGATTATTTTCCAGGCCTTCTTTTTTTTAGGCGTCCTGCAAACCTACTTACATTCTATTCTGAGGTTAACGGTTCTGAGGCTGCTGGTTCTGCTGACGATATTTGCTCGACTTGGGATAAGATCAGTCAGTAATTTTCTCGTTTATGATTTTTTCCCGCTTGTCTGAGACACTGCAAGCTCTGTGTGCAACTATTTGAGATCTGTTGATCTCAACTAGTAATTTTGCTGCATCCCAGATTTGTTCCAATCTCTTAACATTGTCTGGATCCAAAAAGATGCTAGAGACTCAACTACTGGAGCTAAAGTAGACAAAGCAGATCCTGCTAGCTTCTGTGTACCACCAAAGTATTTGTCCCACTTCAAAACCGATTCTTTTAGGTTAGCTGCCACCTCTTCATACAAAATTTGCAGCTCGAACGAAAGTTTACCCTTCCTGGGATATTTTCTTAGGAGTGACTCCCTAACCTCTTTCTTTAGACCTTCAGCTAAATATTTTTTCCAGTGATTAACAACACTGGAATGCAGGAGTAATCTAGGTTCTTCCTGCACCGGGTTCTCTCTGAAGATATGGAGAGCATCCGCATCCAGCTCCTATGGAGTCTCTGTTTTTGCGCTTCCAACTCGCTCTGATCCCAGTGGGACACCTCTGCTATCCAACCACTAACTTTTACGATCTCAACACAATTTGGAGCAACCTAAAGACAAACATCAGAACTGCCGCTATAGAAGCTTTAGGAACAATGACATACAAAAGCCAAGGTTTTACAATAAATAAAACACCATGGTTCTGAGAAGAAGTTAAAAAACAGTGCAGAAAGAAGAAAAAAGTATACATAGAGTATCTAACAACCCGAACTGCTGAGACATACAACGCATATTAACAAATTCGGATTGAAACCGGTACTGTGGTGAGATAACTAAAAGACAGGTACTAAAAATCTTTTCAAAGCGACTAGAAAGAGACTTTTACGGGCTCCAGAAACAGATGTGGCGATTCAAAAGAAGCCAAAAGAAAGAAACAAGCGAGGTAATACCCGCTAGTCAAATTAGCAAGAAAACGTGGACCAGTTATTTAAAGGATCTATATGAAGGTTCATCCATGCTACAATCAGTACCGAGTGTGATTAATAGACGTCCAGATATCAATAAATTAGTCGGACATTAAAAAAGCACTAAATAAGCTCAAAAATAGGAAAAGTCCGGGTCAGGATGATATCACTAGCGAACTCCTCAAGTATGACGGCGAAAGATTGCTTTAAGAGTTGACGGTTTCAACGCCATAATTGTTGAACAACAAAAAATTCCCGACGAGTGGCGAACAAGCACAACGATCCTTTTTTTTTTTAAGAAAGACGACAAGAAGGTGCCCGCAAATTACAGAGGAATAAATCTACTATCCTCCACCCTGAAATTAGTGACCAAGTTCATAAGGAACCTGATAAACGAGCGAATCAATCTAACTGATGAGCAACAAGGTTGCCGAAGTGGACGATCATGCACAGATGCAGCGTTTGTGATCAGACAAATAACTGAAAAATCCATAGAATATAATAAACTAGCATTTTTCTGTTTTTAACTGACTTCAAAAAGGAGGAGGTTCTCAATTCGGATGTTTGTAATTTTTTTTTTTCATGTATTTTTAGGCATAACTCCGTTATATGTAGACGGATTTGCAAAATTCTTTTTAAAGTGAAAACTTCTTTAAAATGGAGTGATCTAAAAAGTAAATAAACGGAAACGCAGCTATGTAAAGGCTGCTGTACTGAATAACGGGAGAAAGAGAGACAAACATATTGGATTGAGCCTGCGAGAAAGAGACGGAATATGGCTATACAGTTTTTCCTATTCTCGGTCTCCTCTTTATGCTAATATAAAAAATAAATCCTACAATTATCTTATACTTTTGAAACTGTGCATTCGTCAGATTCTTTTGAAACTTAGTTTTTTAAAGGTTTTACTTCTAACACGTGTGATCTGCACACATAATTTTTCTTTTAAACGATATTTTTTAATCTGAATAATTAGTCTTGACAATCTATTACAAAATGTGTTACTAATAATGAAAGTTTATTTTAAATGACTTGGTTTTTTGTCTTCGTTATCGACTAATGCTATTTTTATTTACCGACTGAAACATCGATAATTTTCAAAACAAGATCCGGACGTTATCATCCGCGATAAATTATATTTTATTGAATGTGTTTTGCTTACCATTCAGGGAGATTTTTAATAAGTGGTGATATCAAACCTTTTTATAAATAAAAAAAATGATAGGTCTGACGTTCAAAAAGAATATAAATTTTCTAATTTGAAATACGAGTAAGACCTAGGAATAGGAATGACTTTTTCATCATAGATGATTAACAAGATATGAATGGTTGTTTAAGAATATATTTGCAGCTACTTGTAGTTTTTTTACTTATTAAATAGTATTCTATACCAAATTACGAGGTCAAAGTTACGTATGTTTATTTTTATAAAGAGATGATGAAGAGGTGAGCGAGCATAGGGGTTTTCCCGGTAGTCCCGTTCAAAAATAATTAATAAACTAAATATGGCGTGTTTTTGACCGAGACTACCGGGTGACCTTAAATGATGCTCTAACTGCGCGCTCTCTGCTATCTATCTCGAAAACGATTTAACGTAAAAAAAAAATTTTAAAACAAAAGTTGTAGGGAATTCTATCCTCTAAAATATTGATACAAAACACAAATAGCAGAAAACCTATAGGAAACGAGATATTTGCAAAAAATGTGCAATTAATCGATTTTTCTGACATTTGACCTTAGATTATAATAGTAGCGTACACCCTACCATATGCAGGTTTTGAGACAACTTTTAGAATGTCGACAAACAAGTTTATGCGAGTTTATAGCTCAGTATCTTAAATTCCAGGATTCTTAGCTAATTTGACTAGACTTGAAAGGTTGTCAACACCGGAAATCGTAGAAAAATTAAAGGATATCGTATTGGAAAATCGTCGAGTGACTAAAAGAGATTTAGTAGAAGCCTAAAGCATCTTATTGGGTAGTGTAATCAATATTTTGACTAAAGTATTTGGTTTCAAAAAGCTGTGTGCGCAATGGATGACGCATTTGCTAACAAWSGAACAAAAACAGATTCGAATGCGAYTTTCTCAGCAACATTTAGAGCRTTTTYGAAAGAATAAAGTAGATTTTGAGCGTCGACTGATCACTATRGATGAGACTTGGATCTATCAYCATGATCCTGAATTAAAACAAGAGTCTAAAGARTGGTATGAACCTGATTCTTCGGCTCCGAAACGAGGTCGGGTTCAGAAATCGGCCAAGAAGGTGTTAGCATCAGTTTTTTGGGATGCGAAAGGAATTTTGTTTGTGGATTACTTGCAAACTGGTAAAACGATAGATTCTGAATATTATTGTAACCATTTAGACCAGCTGAAGGAAAAAATTCGTGAAAGAACACCCGGTTTGCAGAAGAAAATAATCCTCTATTTTAGAGCATTATTTAAAGTCACCCGGTAGTCTCGGTAAAAAACACGCCATATAAAGTTTATTAATTATTTTTGAACGGGACTACCGGGAAAACAACTATGCTCGCTCACCTCATCATCATCTCTTTATAAAAGAGAACCTACGTAACTTTGACCTCGTAATTTGGTATAGACTTTTATTAAATAAGTAAAAAAAACTATAAGTAGCTGTAAATATATTCTTAAACAACCATTCATATCTTGTTAATCATCTATGATGAAAAAGTCATTCCTATTCTTAGTCAAAACTCGTATTTCAAATTAGAAAATTTATTTTCTTTTTGAACGTCGAAGCTATTTTTTTCTAATTATTAAAAGATTTAATACCTTTAATTATTAGAAAAGCTCCTAAAATGGTAAACAAAAAATAATTTAATGAAATATAATTTATCGCAGATGCTAACGTCCGGATCTTGTTTTGAAAATTATCGATGTTTCAGTCGGTAAATAAAAATAGCATTAGTCGATAACGAAGAAAAAATAAACGCAGTCATTAAAAATAATCTTTCAATATTAGTAACACATATTGTAATAGATTGTCAAGACTAATTATTCACATTAAAAAATATCGTTAAATACAAAAACGCTTCGAATTTCAACGCGACTTAAGTGAAACTTCTTAAGATTTATATGTGTTAGGTATTTTGATATTGAATTATTAAATAATAGATTTTTTTTTATTTTATTTTTTTTTACACATTAGTGCAGTACTTGATAACTAAAATTATTAAAACTATCCATGTATATACACTTTAAACGTTTATTTCAAATATACATAAATTTACATATTTTTCCAAGTTATTTGAATAAAAGAACGAAGTGTTTATTTTCTTTATTTCGAAAAAAACGATGTGTCAGAAGAAGGAAGAAAGAGAACATTAATTAAACATGTAAAATATTATAATATTGCACAGTCACATTAGCTAAGCATTATTTTTGCTACAAAGTTTAGAATTAAATATAGAAAGATCACGCTAGAGTTATATTATGCGTCCGGTGGATGATCAACTGGTACAAAAGTACGTTTATTAAAAATGGTAGTTGTTTACAAGTCAAGATCACGACAGTAAATAATATTTCAATGATTTGTTTAATTCAGAATCTTATACCGATGTCCAATAAAAAGGTGATGGTTGTTGAATGTTGAGATAAGCGATGTCGTATACCACGATCAATACGGATTAAAGTCTCACCGCGAAGTGGTTTCTGTAATTCCTGATCCACAGTCAAAGATTCTACATTTACATTTAATTTTCACAAAAATCCATTTTATTATTTATATATAAAAAAAAAAATATTATGCGCAGATCACATGTGTTCGAAGTGTAACCTTAAAAAAAATAAGTTTCGAGAGAATCAGATAAATTCACAGAATGAAGAATAAGATAATTGTAGAAATTATTTATTATAATATTGTTACCCTATATATATCAAAGGGGACCGGTACAATCTTGCTATGGGGGTAGCTAATAAAAGCGATCAATATCCAAATTGTATTAATTTAGATAGAATGCTAAATGCGATATCAATTGATAGAAATAAATCTATATAAATAGTTCTCGACACTTATAATAATCAACCAGTTTTTCTATTCAGAGGATAACATATTAGACCCTATGGAAAATTTTTTTATACAAATCTTTAATTAAAATTAGATACTAATACCATCATTAAGTGACAATCTATCGTCAAAGACTGCAAACGGAAAAAGAAAGAAACTAAGTATTATTCTTGTAATTTACTTAAATAACAGTGTTTATTATCAAAAAAATTATCTCGTAAATAGTAGTTTATGTTTACCTATCTAGCACAGATTTAACAGTCCTATCGATAATTACAATAAAAAAAGACACGTTTATAATAACGCTCTCGCAAAAAATAACATTACTTTCATTTAAATTGCCATAAGTATTATCTTTAGTTTTGTGTTCTCCATTCTTTTTGTTAAAAAGCTAATACTAAATTTGTAGTCAACTATTTCAAAAAAATTCATATACTAATTACCGTGGTCAAAATGGTAATAGTTTACGATAAAAAATGCTATAAGACAGTGTAAAATTTAGAATAATTCAATTAGCATGTATTTGTAAAACGAACATTCTCACGATGACTATGTTGATTTCTGTTKTATTGTATGCAAATTGATAATATCAAACGTGCACATTGTACGTAAGTGGGATTATCTCTATATAAATGCAGAGACCGACTAACTAATATTACTCAATCATAATTTGGAGTTGAACTAAGTTACTTAGAAAAAGTTTAATAGATATTTTTATCAAGAGGACATTTTTAATACATAGTTTATTATAAACTTTTTTATAACTAACAAACATACTTAGTTCTTTATAAGATAAAAAGTTAATAAAAGTTTTTCTTTAATAGTTTAAAATCGAAAAACTTGCCGACATATTTTATTATATTCATTGTGATAAAAGTTGTTGAGATAAATAGGTAAGTTTTTTATTATTTACTATTCTATACTATTCCCAACTGTTAAATTTACAAAAGATCAAATTTTCTAAATAAGTGTAATACCTATAAATAAGGTAAAAGGACAAACGAACTAAATTTTTAATTTTAATTTATGTTTTGAATAAAACTAAAAGTTGGATAAGAATTTATTGTGATGTTATATTGAATGAAACACTAAAAAGTCCATAGAATATGAGAATAGCTTCAGTCATTAGAAATATTCATTGGCATGTTTATTTTCAAACGTTATTTAAAAAAACTATTAATTCTATAGAATAATTATTTTGTTAGAATAAATATACTTATTTTATTTACGTTTGTTACTTTAGGAATATTATTTAAAAAGAAAAAAAGCTGAATTTTTCATTTATTAAAAAACGAACTACTTAGAACAATAATTAGAATTAAAAGCATCTATTTCAATCACTTATAAATAATTAATTATCTTCAAGATCTGTCTGTCATCGATAATTACTATAAAGTGAAATTTTTTTTACTTTATTTGTATTTAATATTTTTTATTATTATACGAGAATTCAAAAAATGGCATCATTAAGCGGACAAACGTATCAAGAGGAACTACTTCCGATGGTAGAAGAGCCAATTTATTATAATCAACGAGGTGAAATTGCTACATTTTTTTCGGGAAAGAAAATTTTTATAACAGGAGGCTTAGGATTTATAGGACGGCTTATAATGGAAAAACTTTTAAGGTAATRGTATATTRCTYACCTAGGGAGGTAAAGTAAGAAATGTCTCAGAGTACATGTAATTGCTGGCCGAGGCTTCGCGTTGTTGGTGTTCGCCTTGGCCAACAATCACATGTATTCTGAGACATTTCTTACTTTACCTCCCTAGGTGAGAAATATACTATTTCGTTCTTAATTAAATCAATACTTTCAATATAAGCTTCTAATCATAAATTTCAAATAAATTTAAATAAAATGTACAATCGGAGAGTTTTTGTTAGTAGTTTTATTCTCCTTTAGATTCATATTGTGTGAAATAAATAACAAAAAATATTGCTCAAGTTTGAAGTCTATTAATTAATTTTACCTTTCAAAGCTTTCAAAATAAGAAGAATAGCATAGAGTTTTTGTCATGCAAAAAGATAATTATTTTTTTTTACAGATTTATTTGCTAGAACATATATTTATTTCAGCAGACAATATCTATCTAATAGTACCTGTATTTAAAGATAACGATAATTATTCTTTATTTTTCTCTTTTTCTACTTCTCTCTTTACTWCWATATTTTAAATTTGACACAATAATGATTTATTTTAWAAGAAATAATTTTCCGSTAAAAACTTKTACTATAAATGCAATTGCTGCGGTTTGCAGATGTTGTCCAGAAATAACAACGATTTATTTGCTGGTAAGGGCAAAGAAACAGAAGGATCCGCAGACTCGATTTAAAGAGTATTTCAATGATGTTGTGAGTAAAGTTACATTTTTTGTACTTATTATTATGGAAATAAAAGATGTCACCAGTATTACAATTTATATTTAAATCTTTAGATTTTTAATAGATTGAAGAGAGAGCAAAAAGATGTTGAAAAGAAAATTATTTTGATTGAAGGAGACACGAGTCTATTAAATTTAGGATTGTCAGAGAAGGACCGCGATCGCATTAAAGATACCGATGTAATTTTTCACAGTGCAGCATCGGTACGATTTCTGGACAATATTCGTATTATAGTTAATACAAATATTAGAGGAACAAGGGATCTTCTTTTGCTTGCACAAGAGATGACAAGCTTAAAGGTATTTTTTTCCTAGTTAAATCATCCGTATAAAAATGCGTATGTTTAAGCACAATTCCCGACCAGATCAATTTATTTATATATAAAATTTAGTTTAATTTTAAAAATAAATTGTTTTAATTTTATAATAATTTTGTTCTTCAGGCCTTTGTTTATGTTTCAACGGCTTATTCGCACTGTGTTTACAATAAAATCGAAGAAAAATTGTATAAGCCACCTATGAAGACAGAAGACATAATTAGATTGACAGAGATTTTGACCGAAGACCAATTAGATTTAATCACCCCAAAGTAATAAAACATAAAACCTATTACATTTTTTTAAAGATAAGTCGATAAGCTTATTCGTTTGTTTTACAGGCTACTGGGTAAGTGGCCTAACACTTACGCATTTTCAAAGGCAATCTGTGAAGATACAGTACGGCAATATTCTAATGGAATTCCAACTTGTATCGTTCGGCCATCCGTTGTTGTATCAACAGAAAAGGAACCAATAGCTGGTTGGATAAACAATTTATATGGATTTACAGGTGTTGTTTTTGGTACCTCGAAAGGTATTTTACGAACAATGTATTGTGATAAAGACTTAACTATCGATATAATTCCTGCTGATTTTGTTGTCAACAACATTATTGCTGCAGCATGGGATGTTGCACAAAAACGGTAATTTGTATTTGTGTCTCCTTTTTTAGTTTACTACTAAAATAAACTTTTAGTAAATTTCTTAAAATATCATTTACATTAAATAAGTTACAACTTTTTTTGCAGATCTATATCACAGAGTGTTAATCTTTCCAGCAGTGATAATAAGTACTTACCTGTTGACGATGAGATTCCAATTTATAATTCTGTTTCCTCCGTTCAAAGACCAATTACTTATGATACTATAATGCATAATGTAGCTTTCGAGGGACTTCAAGTCCCGTCGAAAAAAGTGCTTTGGTACGGCACAGTATGGCTTATCAAAAACTATTATTTCTATATCTTTTTGACAATTTTTTGGCACTGGATACCTGCAATATTAGTTGATTCTTTATTATATCTTAGTGGAAGAAAGCCAATGTAATTTATAATTATATTTAGATTAACAAGCTATTTATTATCCGTCGTTGAAATACAACATTAATAATTTAATGGCATATCTTTTTTCAGATTGCTTAATGTCTACAGAAAAATAGAGAAGTTTAAACATGTAATAAGTTTCTTTACAATGAATGAATGGGAATTTACAAACGATAATGTCTTGAAGTTATGGGACAAATTATCTATTGTTGATAAAAGTAACTTCTTCTTTAATGTTGCTGATATTGATTGGAAGTGTTTTTCTATTACTTACATCAGGGGATTGCGAGTATTTTTAGGTAAAGACCCGATGGATACGGTTGATGAGTCGAGACCTTTTTATAGAAGGTAAATGTTTTATTATCTTTTTTTTATAACAAATATTATCTTTATCCTATGTATAATTAATTACCCTTTTATTGTTTATCGTTTCCAGGTTGAAAATAGCTCATTATACGTTGAAGTGGTTTAGTTATTTTTTTATTCTTTGGATTTTATATTCTTTATTATGTTTTATTTTTACTTACATTTTTTATTTTTGACAATCTGTGAAAAATGACAACAAAGTAATCTGTTTATAATTATTAGCAGATAGAATAGGATAATTGTTTTTTTAGAATAAATGTAATTTTCCCTATAAGTATGGAATATTTTTGCTATTAAATTCATTGAATTCATTTTTTGAAGAGAAGATGTTTACACGTTAAAACTAGTAGCAATTATATAGAAGTTGGGATCTGTTTTTATAGTTTAAATAATATCTGGTGATTATAAGTGGAATGAAAATATTTTTAATGTGTTTATATGTGATAATTTGCTTATATATTTAACAGAAAATCTTTACATGTACAGTTGATTAAAAATAGTATAAATACACCATTTATTTTGAAAGTGGGTTAAGTACATTTAAAAAAAAAAAGAGATGTCACATAATTTATGCTTAATTTAATGTAAACTTTTTATGTGGATAACTGGTTAATATTTAATTTCCTAAAACGTGCCTACCCAGTAAACACAAGACCTTCATATGATATCATACGTACGTTATAAAGTCATCTTCAAATTTTTTCGTACACATGACGGAACCCAGTGAACACAAGACCTTAAAATGATGTCATATGTACGTCATAAAGTCATCTTAAAATTTTTTCGTACACATGACGGAACCCAGTGAACACAAGACCTTAAAATGATGTCATACGTATGTCATTAAGTCATCTTCAAATTTTTGAAGTGAAAAGTTACTTTATTTATGACCTCAATATTAGGTCATATGTTCTGACATAAAAATGACGTAATAATTCCATCATATTCTTACAGCACAAAACGATAGGTTGAATTTTTTTTTAAACTTTGTATTTTCAGTCTAAATTAGGTATATAATTTTGTAAAATTGTTTAAATGCATTATTTTAATTTAAAAAAAAAATAATTAAAAATTTTTTTTAATTAAATTAAAAAATAGGAAACTAACTCAGCTTACTCTGGGACTGGTAGGCATAATCGCAGATTTAGACAAAGTTTTTTTCTAAAAAATAAAAAAAAAAATTGAAAAATGGCGAACTTCGAGAAAATAACAGTTTTTCTCAAAAAATACGAAAATTTCATGGATTTTTTAATTTTAAAATTTTTTTGTATTTTTTTCTGAAAAGTACATTTAAAAACAAATATTAAAAAAAAAACGTTCCAATAGGTTGAATTTTAAAGAAGCTATAGCTATTTCAAAGAAAAGAGCAATTTTTTTCAAAAATTAAAAATTTTTTTTGGGTTTGGTAAAAAAATTTGAAATGATTCTGACAATTGTTTTTCATAGGCTAGCATAGGATAAAAAACTTTCAGGCAAATCGAAAGGGGTCGGGGTTAAAAGTGACTAATTTAACGTGGAATGCCCCATATATATCATCAAACTTTCATGTGTACTGATTTTTGTCTCTAAATATCTTTCGAACGCTTAATTATATCGCCAAAACATAAAACACTATTTTTATAGAGCAGTTAATTTCCTACAAAAATTTGTATTGCGCATCTCATAATAGTCATTTATTGTCGAGTTATAAAATTCATGAAAAAAAATGAAATTTGTTTAAAAATCATCAAATTTTAATCTTCAATATCATTTAAATGGTGAGGTTTACGGAAAAAATATAAGATATCTTTTTTGTAGAGCATTATATTTCCTACAAAATTTTTTTTGAACATTTTTCTGTACAATCAATTAATGATGAGGTATAAATGTTATTCTATTGTACTAAGAAAAAAATAAAAAACTTTGATGCGGAGGATTTTCCTGTTAAAATTAAGAGTTCATAAATGGTGAGAATTTTTTTAAGGTGTCTAGTAAACCCATTTGCTCGTAGCACTTGTAAAAAATAAATAATTGATTTTTTTGACCGGCCCTAATATGTATTAAAAAAAACGGTGACGGTAAGTCAACTTATAAGTATATATTTTCAGTGCATTAAATAAATATGTTTAATGGGTATTCTACCACCGGTGGTACATGTGGCACGGAACGTGTTAATTATAATTTATATTATTAATTTATGTTATATTTTATTATTTAATATTATTAATAATTATAATTAATAATATTGTTAATTATATATGAATTAGTAATACTATAGAAATCAGCACAAGATCGCATGGCTCAGTGAGGCAAATCACCATCCAGTTGTAATGTCCATCCAGTAGTCGTATGTTCCTGAGTTCAAATCCCGAGGGTGAAAAAGAAATTATACGTCATATACTAGTAAGAAATTCGGCAATAACTAGACATATGTATGACATCATTGCTTTTTTGTTCTTTTGTTTCGTCAGGTCAGCTGAACGTCATATTTATTACGTAAAAGTCTTAAGTCAATAAGAGTGAAATAATGAGTCCCATGTGACTCATATCTGACTTATATCTTACGTAAATCATGAAATCGCGCAACATCATTTTGACGTCATTTTGACGTACTTGTGTTCACTGGGTATATTTTGTACAAACAGGTGACTGATTTTTTACTATTTCTTCCAATACCAATTTCCCAAGATCATTTCAGAGTCTTTTGAGATGTGTATAAGATAACAATATAATAATAAATGAACCCTGCACACAATTATCTTAATCCTGATATTGTGCACTCATCTTATTCTCTCGAAACTTGTACTTTTGATCGTTTAATTTTTTACACGTGTGATCTTCAAACATGATATTTTTTATATATTTTATATTTGTCTGAACCCCACAAGTGTAGAATTTCTTCTGTCTAGTTAGTAGTTTTCCGGAATAAAATCTGACGAAAAAACAATAGGATTTCTTATAATATTTGTGATTTTTTAGTTCAACAAAACTACCATTCTTTTTTGAAATGCAATATATTTTTATAAATAAAATAGAAAAAAA